TTAGGACAAGCATTTTTCTTCAGCCTATTTTAGCTTAAATTCTGAAAATGTTAACTCTTTGTAGTTTAAAAGCCAACATCCTGTTCTGATGATGCTATAGTTCAAGTGTAAATTAGAATCCGTTCACAATATGCAGTCCTTTTCATTTGGGACACCAGGACCAGGGATTTCCTCTGCTCAAGCTCCCTCCTTCACTTTCTGATGCTATTATGGTGATTGATTGCTCTCTTGCTGAGAGGAAATGTGGGCACTGCTGATTGACTCAATGCTGTGCTGATGGTATTAATGAAGCCATGGATGAAATATGGTCTTGGTTGTCTTCTATAGGGGCATGCATGACTTTGCCAGTGTTGAAGGTGACACCAGAATGGGATGACCTAGCACTGGGGCCCTGCTCTTTTGAATATTCTCTTGTAATTGTTGCAATACTCACTGAAAAGTATCGTGAAAACGGGTTGTATTGCCCACTCGTTTTTATGGTCAAATGTATTGTAAGTGCAACATTCCTTTTAAACATTTTGATAATTGATTGAGATATATAAAATTCACAGAGCAGTAAAATAGAGAAGTAAGATGGTGTTCATAGCCTTTGGGGATGAAGACGTGTAGTGTAATTTCAAGACAGGGAACTATGTGCCTGGAATCTGTATAATGTCCTCTGCCCAAGGCAATAGAGCCATCAGCCATCTAAAAGAGAGAGAAAGCGAGGATGTAAATTGCTACATCAGAAAGGACCATGGAAGATTCTGTTGAATAAAATATGCCAGAGATGAAACAATCATAGACTGTGTGATTCCATGCATATGAGTTGCTTGGGAGTCCTCACAGTCCTAGACCAAAAGGGGAAAGATGGTTCCCAGAGCTCAGGCAGGAGGGAATGTAGCGTTGATCTTGAATGTGTGCAGTTTTAATTTGGGAAGATGAAACTTTTAGGACATACACAACATGTGACAGTTGTATATCTTTGTGGCTATACTTGATGACATTGAATTGTATGCATAATAAAAATGGCCAATGTATATGTATCATCATAGTAAAAGAAGTTCATTTTTGCTCTGCTCACAATAGTTAGGTCATGGAAACAGCCTAAATGCCTATCAGCTGAAGAATAGATAATAAAAATGTGACAACTATGCATGATGGAATTTTTTTTCAGCTGTAAAGAAAAATGAAAGAAAAAGAAAGAAAAATGAAATTATTAGAATTGCAGGGAAATGGATGGAAGTGAGATAACTCAGTGAGGTAATGCAGACCCAGAAAGATAAGCATCACATTTTCTCATACATATGTGGCTTTTATACTCCTTCCTTTAGAGATTTATTTTATTCTATTTATTTATTTGTTTGTTTGTTTATTTGGGGGAGGGGTGTTTCGAGACAGGGTTTTTCTCTGTAACTTTGCAGCCTGTCCTGGAACTCACTCTGTATACCAGGCCTTAAACTCACAGAGATCCGCCTGCCTCTGCCTCCCGAGTGCTGGGATTAAAGGCGTGTGCCACCACTGCCTGGCTGAGATTTGTTTTATTTTTAATGATGTATCTGTGTGGGTTATGTGCACAGGAGTGCAAGTGCCCACTGAGGTCAGAACAGGCTGTTAGATCCCCTGGAACTGGAGTTACACCACCTTGGAAGTGAACTTAGGTCCTGTAGTAAAGAGGTATGTACTCGAAACTGCTGAGCTGTCTCTCCAGCTTGTATCTTGTTTACAGACTCTTACGTACTACCTTTGTTGAGCTGATAGTATAGATACTCAAAACCAGGCAGACTGATGACTTCAGTGCAACAAAAATTACACATGATAGTTGTTTTAAAATGTATGCGCTCACCAGATTGCCCTTTCAAATTTAGCCTTTTGCGTTTAGGTTATTGCTTTTTCTTGATATTTTTGAGTTCAGAAATAAATAATAAACATGTAATTTCCATTTTCTAAGAAGACAGCTCCATATAACAGCATAGGATAAAAACACTGGCTTATTAATCTACTTAGCCATTCTTCACTCCCTGCCTGTCAAATAGTTGCCATATATATTGTGATCAGCCTTGGCATATCAGCTCTTAAATTATAAATGACCTTATGTTGAAATAGTATTGTTATACTGCTTGCTACCTGAGCACTTTGAGGCAAAACGACATTTATATACATACCCTATATGTGTGTGTATAAATATGGCTCTCATGTTCCTGCCCCTCTATGCAGACTCTCCCCAAGCTACAACATGGAACTGCACCAGAACAATATTCTCCCTTTGTCTTCAGTAAATTTAAGCCCTGTGTATTGGGCTGAAAGTTCCTTTGGTGAACTTAGGCCCTATGTGTAGGCTACAAACTTCTCTGGTGAACCTCAGCACAAGGGATGGGCTGCCAGTTCCTTACATTGGGATTTATATTAAGATCTGAGCCCTTCTAGAGACCTATAAAGGTAGATTCCACAATAGGACAACTTTTGAAGTCCTAGGTTTTGATTTTGTAAGTATTCACATATACTTTCCCCTCATTCTAAAAATTAAAGCAAAGATGATGTTTGTTGACCCACTTTTGCCAAATTGGTTCAATAAGAATCAAAAGTCTATCTTCCTATCAAATGTAGATATATTCTGTTTTGATCTCATTATTATGTAAGCATGCTTCAAAATATCACACTCTATCCCATTAGTATATACTGTTAACTATGTGTCCATAAAAAAGATATTTGCAAATGCAAAATGTGTGTATACATATATAATTATATATAATATATTATATCTTTGTATGTTGCTATGGTTAATTTAACTCTGTGGAATTTTTTACATTCATATTTGTGTGTGTTTTGTGTGTGTGTTTGTATGTGTGTGTTTTGTGTGTGTGTGTGTGTGTGTGTGTGTGTGTGTGTGTGTGTGTGTAGATCAAAGGAGAACTTCAGGGAATCAGCTGTCTCCTTCTACAATATGAGTCTGAAAGAATTGAATTCAGATCTGAGGCTGTCATTCTTGGCAGCAAGCACCTTTACCAGGTGAGCCATCTCACCAGTCCCTCGACTCTAGATTCAATGCCTCTAAGAACTGTTAGTGTCATGGGAACCCTTGTTGAAGGATATAGAACATTCCAAATTTGTGAAGCATGTAGTATCAAGCAGAGGGCACCTGCTAGCAGCAAAAAAAAAATAGTGTCTTAGTTAGAATTTCTATTGCTGTGAGGAGAAACCATGACCACAGCAACTCTTATAAAGGAAAGCATTTAACTGGGGCTGGTTTATGGTTTCAGAGGTTTCGTCCATTATCCTCACAGCTGGAAACATAGCAGTGTTCAGGTAGACATGGTGCTGGAGAAGGGACTGAGAGTCCTACATCTTGACCTGAAGGCAACAGGAAGTGAACTGAACTAGGAGTAGCTTGAGCATAGGAGACCTCAAAGCCCCACCCCACAGTGACACACTTCCTTCAACAAGGCCATACCTCCTAGTAGTGCCACTCCCCATTGGCCAAGCATTAAAGCACATGAGTCTATGGGGCCATTCCTATTCAAACCACCACAGGTAGGAATCATAGCAGAGGGCCAACATTTTTTTTTTTTTTTTTTGGTTTTTAGAGACAGGGTTTCTCTGTGTGTAGCTTTGCGCCTTTCCTGGATCTCGCACTGTAGACCAGGCTGGCCTCGAACTCACAGAGATCCGCCTGCCTCTGCCTCCGGAGTGCTGGGATTAAAGGCGTGCGCCACCACCGCCCGGCCAACATTTTTATTTCAGAGCATGTAAATTGTGTTCCCTCAGACAGACTCCTGACCATGGTGCTGCATCTGGTTAATTTGCTACTTCATTAGAAACTCAGCTTCAGCTCTTAGTAGGCTAGTCAGAGCCAGGTGTGTATGCTTACTAATTCTTAGGAGAGCCCACAGATGAAGGGTAGTTATGAGTAGCTACTAACTTCCTACTAAGAAGGTCACTCATTGGAGTTTACCTCTTCGCTTATGCTTTGGCAAGAATGTGTATGTTCCAGCCAGGGGAAGGAAAAGGCACAGCAAAGAGCAGGACCAGTCTGCGTATGTGACTGACTTGAGAGTGACTGCAGGGTGACAGCAAGGCACTAGCTGGTTGTTTGACTCCATAAGGTCCTTCAAAACATTCTTCTCAGGATGAAACAAGGTGAGAGATGTGAGAGGCTGCTGTGCTGTGTGCTGTGCTGGTCCGTACTGTGAGAGCGAGACACCACTGTGCACATTCCATGACAGACTTTTCACTCTTTCCGGCACCACTTTGTATCCTCAGAAGAGGTTTAGAACAGGCTTGTTAATTTGTTGCCCTCATTTTCTCTCTTGAATTTTATAGCATATATGATTCCCCCATCCTCATCTCTTCCTCCTAATCCTTCCTCTCCACTTCTTTCTGGTCTTTTGAACACTGCCTCTTTCCCTCACATATCCAGAAGTCAGCTGGCTTTCTTTATTGTCTGCTCATATGTCTTTCCCACTGTATATATTCAAAACACATTATCAGTAACTAAATTGAAATTTAAGAAAATAATAATAATAAAGGAAGGAAAGAAGAGAACTCTGGATCCTCTCGTCTTCAGCATTGAAAAAGTACATTTTGAGCCTCTTCAAGTATGAAACTTTCTGTATTCCAGTAGACAAAACCATGAGGTCTCAGCCCGCTAACTACTGAAGTTTCTTCTACTAAATGTCACCGAGGAGAACAGAAAACTTTGTGAGGGAGAAGGAATGCAGGTTAATTTTGAAGCACTCAAAAGTATCTTTTCTCTGGCTTTATCTGATTTTATATCTCTCTTTTTTTTTCAATAATTGCAAATCACAGGGAACAGCTAAGCAGTTCTCCCATGGAACCCTCTAAAAGCTATTCCAAACACCCCGTGGGAGCATAGATTAGTGTCTGCTGATGCTGCCTTAGAGGCACAGGGATCAGGCCTTTTTTGAGTATTTGTTCGCCAGCACTTATATGTTTCGATCTAAAGGAAAACGCTGTCTCAGATTTGTTAAAATGATGAATGTTTTTCCTACCATCTCTCTCAGGAAATGGCGAAAATCCTCAACCACCCCAGAGTCTACGCTTTTCTCCACATCCCAGTGCAGTCTGCCTCTGACAGCGTGCTCATGGACATGAAGAGAGAATACTGTGTGGCCGACTTCAAAAGAGTTGTAGATTTTCTCAAGGAGAAGTAAGTCTGTTAGCACTTTGGAAAATGACCATTTCTTTCTTTCTTTCTTCCTGCGTTGTGTGGCAGCAGGGTACTACTATAGCCTTGCAGTTATGGTGTGCAGCACAGGGCGAGAGTCCGGAAGCCCTCGAAGCCTGCAGTTGCCTTGGGGCCCTTGATGTGGTTTCCTCTCTCCCCTTCCATGTGTGTACCGAGCACTGTTGATTTGTGTAAGCTTGCCCACCTTCCTACGGCAGTTGGAATTGTGATTGTTTTCATACCTGACCTGCTGCCTAAGCACTGCCCTCCCTTCACTAGCCTTGAAATCTCCTTTCATGTGGCCTTTTGAAGTTGTGAGCTGACTTTGACATGGAGGAAGGGACCAAGTCTGTCACTATAGAGTGGATCATTTTCTCCTGACTAGCATTTTCACAGCGTCTGGAATTGCCTTGCTCTTAACACTGATGCCTGTAGTTAACTGGAGTACTTGCAGTTTACTGGGAGGTTGGAGGATTCTATTTTCTTCAATTCAAATTGCTGTTGACCAAAATTAAGGCATATTTACACAATCTCAGACATGAATGATAATTTTGTTTCCACAGAAAAACACTTGCAGCCCATAATTATGTTCTTCAAAATCTCCCTTCCAAACCTGGAGTGCATTCTATGATTAGACAAGGCAGGAAACAGAGGTGCTGGCCACGGTCACCCAGACCCTCCTCTAATCTAGGGTACCATCATCACATCTGAGATGGTATCATTTATCTTGGCACATTTCTGGTGTGGTTTTCTCTACTGTCTGTAATTTATGTTTTACCCCCCACTGTTGTTGTTTCCATTTGTTATTCATAATTATGTGGTCTTGCGTCATGTCGATGTCCTACATGGGTATGATTGCTTTATACAAATTGTTAGCGATTATTTTTTCCACCTTTAATTACTCACTAATTTATATGGCATACACTATTACAGATCTTCTCTTATTTCCTCTTCTCATCTTTCTTTAACATGTCTTTTAATTTTTTTCCACCTCTAGGCATATCTTGATTATTCTGATCACCAAGAATAAAGACATTTAGGATGCATTCAAACAAATAGGGCTAATTGTTCAAATATTCAAATCAGAAATAGGAAGAAATAGGATTGTATAATTCTAGCATTGTCTGTGCACCCTTTAATGTAACAGAATCTTGGCGAATCTCTTCCATCTCCTACACTCTTGGATCTTGAGTACAACTGGCCCAAGCTAAATAATATGGATTTTCATGCCAAGTATATGCCATATGCCACATCCTTCCCATGCATTTGTGGCTCCTTTTGTAGGTAAATTTGTCTCGTGTAGTAAACTCCTTCCAAGCACTATGACACTGGACATTTTCCAAATAGCAAGTAAATTGTTATTCCTTTGAAATTTCTTACCTTTCATGTATAAAGTGGCAGCAAAGAGTGTACACATTTCATGCATGTTATACATTTTACCAGTGTAGACAAGCATCCCCTTGTGTAGAACAGAGGAGAATCCCATTCAAGAACTTTGTTGGGTTACTGTGATGAAATGAGACTGAGGACTCAGTACCTCTGCTCTGCCTCAGTTTGTGTAAGTGCTGATTCAGTCGTTTGTGCTAATTAAACTGGTCAATAGTTTCCCAGCACATTCCAGCCTTTCGTGGTACTCTGAAGATTGACCTGTTGAATGTGTTGCATCTTAAACATTTTCAACAGCCTCCATGTATAAAGGTCAAATGGGAGTCACATTAAGATGTTAGAAAGTCATCCCTTGCCATTTTTCATAGACTAAACTCTGAGTTGTTTCCTTGTAGCCTCAGTTATCTGTGGCATTTCTGTAGTTTCCCAAGATGTATTTGACTAGCTCAAGATCTTTGAACCAAGGGCTCTCACAGGGTTCTTTAGTGTTCCCATCATCACAGATGTCAGAGGTCCCTGGAGAATCTAGGTACTAAGGATGCCTGGAGAATGGACTCCACCTCACACATGTGCATCCATAATTTCGGCTTTGATGACTGCAACTATGGAGTATAAAGTATGATGATAGCCGCTCTACATCTACAGGAGATTTTAAAATTAAATAAGCATTGTCCTTATACAGCAGGGACAGAAGTAAACCTGTCATAATGAAGCTCACAGTTAGATAATGAGTAGAATTCAACGGAAAGCTGTATGACAAAGCCAGTAAGATAATTGGGAAAGTCTCAGGTACCCTATAATGTCATTGTCACTGTGAACAAAGCAGTCCTTGCATGGTTTTAGAAAGTTCATCAGAACCATAAAGCTAGGGAGAAATAGCCCATCTCTACTCATGAAGGTAATGCAAAACAGCTCTGTTCTCTGACAGAGAGATTGCTTGTCTAGACCTTGGGGAACCCCATTCATCCAGTGAATAATTCTGTTATTGTGGGCAGTTGGAAATAGATGGAATATTTACACTGGTTGTTATTACTCATTTTACAATTACTTTTCCCATTAAAAACTAACATGGTTTTATGCAAGATAGATTTGTGCTTATTTTAGAAATACAGAAGTCCTAGGGATTGCTCTAAGACCAATAATATTGTTTTGTCTGGGATTTATTAATGTATGATGTTTTCATTCTTAGAGAGCTTCACACATCCTGGTTTGTGTCCAGCAGTTGATCACTAAATGTATTTGTGTATACTTTCAGGTTTTCTTTGCTTTATTTCCCTTATTTTCATTAACTTTGTTATTTGACAATAACATATACATTACATAAGATTCATATATATGAATCTCATTTCCCCTAAAATCTTTGGAGCCTTTTGTAATGAATCTTTAACAAATAGGAGTCATTTGTTTTCTTCCTTCAACATTGTGAGGCTCACAGATCTTTATGCTGTGAATGAGGGATGAAGCGTTTCCCAAATTTACCACAACATATAGCATTAAGTCTGGAATCCACAGATTTAGGGAGTTTACTTGAAGCTGCAGGCTTTTAAGCCACAAATTCGAAGTCTTTATTGAGCCCTGTTTCTCACACAGTGGAGTGGAGGTGAACTCTTTTTAATTAATTTTCTTTTACAGTTGAAAGTGCTCCATGTTTTAGCTGGGAGCAATCTAAGTTTACCTGTGAGCCAACTCGTAGCTGATTCATTATTCTCTTCAGTTATTTGAAAGTTGGCAGCTATTTTCATAACAGCAGCTGGATTGAAGATAACCTGGTAGGATTGGCACATGTTGAGGCATATGGGAATTTATTAAATCATGCAGGCTTTGCAAAAAAAAAAGAGAGAGAGACTAAATGACTTGATATGCTCATTTAAAACAGCTGGCCACAAGCAGAGAGTCATATGACTTGAAGTCTATTCAGATTTATTAGCCCAGCAGATGCTTTTATTTAAATGAATTGAGGGTTTCTTGAAATGCATGGTGGGCTTTGGAGGAACATGAAGAGAACTGTTGAACAAAGCAATACATGCAGTTCTGTGTTTTTAAAGTCTGCTTTTATGTTTTTAATAGGTATATCATACATTTTACTACTTAATGTATTCCTGAGATTTTAAAAATAAAATTTGAATTGTTCCCTTTTCTTTCTTTCTTTTTTTTTTTTTACTGTTATGTTATGTACTGTTTTTAGGATTCCCTGACTTTGAAATCTGTTATAAAAGATGTTAGTTGGATTCCCCCTCATTCCCAGCCTCTCTGGGAAAGCATCATACTAATCTATCCACGTGCTGAATTATCTGTCTTTCCTATCATTAGTCATAATTACCATGTGCCCATTTACCAGAACACACTGGCAAAAAAGATGAAGTGTATTAAAATTGTGTTTTATTCCACCTTGTCCATCTAGTTTTATTCCTAGTGGCTTTGAGTGTAAGTGGTGATTAGATATGGTAACTCATTCCTGTAATTCCAGTGCTTGGAATGGTGAGATAGGAGGATCACCACTATTCCAAGGCCAGCCTGTTCTACAGAATGAGACCCTATCTCAAAAACAGTGGGGAAAAATAAACAGAAAGAGAAAAAAGAAAAAAGTAGCAATATGTGTCAGAATAAAATAATCTGAATAAAGAAAAATAAAAGATCCCTTTTAGCAAGGATTAGTTAGTTATATTTTTCTCCAGCTGCATTTCCAGATGTGTTGGTGTTCACTGAATAAGCTCCTGTGAAATAATGTCCTCAGAAGTGTTCACTGGCTTTCCAGGATTATGTCATTTCTGGTGTCTCTAACTAGGCTACTACTTGGGTGTTCCTGGTGTCATGTTCACTAGTTTATCTTTGTCATTTTGCTTTACAAAGTGGTGTTCTCTTCACTTCTTTCTGTTGCTATGTTCAGAATTTTTTAACAGAGTAAATATATTTCATTTGAACAAGTGTCAGTTAGAAAAACACATTGACGTTCTTTGCAGTGTGTGCTCCATTCACAGTCAGAGAATTGCATGCTAGGTAATTTTTTATCGTGTGTTTTAATACCATACAGTGTTGTGAACACCCCAAGTTCAATTCATTTGTTTGAAAATGAATGTATTGTCTATTGATTTGGCTTCTCGGTTCCTTCTACCCGATTAAGAGAAATTGCCACACCATCCTTGCCACTTTATAGGCTTTATGGTTGTGTTATCCTCTCGGAAAACAAAAGGCTATCATCTTCTGAACTTTGGTACATTTTTCCTTGCTCAGTGCTGTGCCCCTCAGATACAGGTCTGAGTACAGATCTGTGAGGCAGGAGTCTGTAATAAGTGTCTTTTCTTTGTCAGTGCTTTTGTAGTCCAGTTGCATATTGTCTCCTGATTACACTAGACCTTAGCCACTCGGACAGTACAAATGGGTTCAGTCTACGTTGTATCAAGTGAATATTAGAGGAGTGGGAATGATTAAAAAGTTTTCCTGAGGCCGGGCGGTGGTGGCGCACGCCTTTAATCCCAGCACTCGGGAGGCAGAGCCAGGCGGATCTCTGTGAGTTCGAGGCCAGCCTGGGCTACCAAGTGAGTTCCAGGAAAAGGCACAAAGCTACACAGAGAAACCCTGTCTCGAAAAACAAAAAA